TTCAACATTTCATGTAATACTGGTTTGGTGGTGATGAACTTCCTTAGCTTTTTCTTATCTGTGAAGCTTTTTATCTGACCTTCAGTTCTAAATGAAAGCTTTGCTGGGTAGAGTAATCTTGGTTAAAGGTCCTTGCTATTCATCACTTTGAATATTTCTTGCCACTCTCCTCTGGCCTGCAAAATTTCTGTTGAGAAATCAGATGACTGTCATATGGGTGCTATCTTATAGGTTCATATAGGTAACTAATTACTTTTCTCTTGCTGCTTTTAAGATTCTCTCTTTGTCTTTAACCCTTGGGCATTTTAATTGATAATGTCTTGGTGTGGGCCTCTTTGAGTTCATCTTGTTTGGGACTCTGTATGCTTCCTAGAGTCTATTTCTTTTACCAGGTAAGGAAAATTTTCTGCCATTGTTTTCTCAAATAGGTTTTCAATTTCTTACTCCCTCTCTTTTTTTCCAGCACACCCATGATACAAATGTTGGGATGATTGAAGTTGTCTCAGACGATCCTTATACTATCTTCATATTTTTGGATTCATTTTTCTTTTTGCTGTTCTAATTGGGTGCTTTTTGCTTCCTCATATTCCAAATTGCTGATTTGATTCTCAGCATTCTCTACTCTACTATTGATTCCCTGAAATTATTCTTCATTTCAGTTAGTATACCCTTTATTTCTGACTCGTCTTTTTTCATGTCTTTGATGTTCTTACTAATTTCTTTGAAATTCTCACTAAGTTCCTTGAAGCTCTCACTATAACCATTGTGATCATGAGGAAAGAGACAACATCATTATAACCATTGTTTTGAACTCTGTATTTAATAGTTTACTTGCTTCCATTTCATTAGTTCTTTTTCTGGAGGTTTCTTTTGTTCTGTCATTTGTGACATGTTTCTTCGTCTCTGCATTTTGGCTGCTTCCTCGTGTTTATTTCTATGTATTAGGTAGAGCTATTATGTCTCCTGGAATTGTTAGAGTGGCCTTGTGTAGTAGGTGTCCTGTAGGGCCCAGTGGCTCAGCCTTCCCAGTCACCTGAGCTGGGCATTCTAGGTGCACCTCTATGTGGGCTGTGTGCACTATCCTGTTATAGTTGAGCCTTGATTGCTGTTGGTGTCGCTGGAATTGACCCCCAGACCAATTGGCTGTGAGGATCAGCTGCAACTACAATGGAAGAGCAGCTCTGCAGGAGACACCCCTATGGAGCAGGACTGCTTCAGTGGAGCTTTAGTGCTCACTGAGTCTGCCCCTTGAGTGTGTCGCTCATGGATGTATAGTTATAATCTGGCATGGTCTGAGGCTGGGTGCACTGGCTCTGGGGTCCTCCCCTGGAGGTGCAAAATCAGCCACTGTCTGTACCCTGCCTGGGGCTACCCATCAGGAGCTGCAGAGTGATCTACAGGTAGCTGCTACTTGTGTTAGGATTGGAAGTGCTCAGGAAAGGCCAACCTGAGAAGCAAGGCAGGCTGCTGCTAGGACTGGGCCTGGGGCCTCTTATTGAGATGTATGGGGCACGCTGAAGCCAGCTGCTACTTGTGTGAGAGATTTTAGGAAAGTCTGGAGCCTGAACCATAACAGGCCATTCATATGGAAAAGCCGCTGCAAACAGCTTAGGTCGGGTGGTGTTTCAGAGAATCACCAGGTAGAATCAAACAGTGTGAGAGCCAAGTTGAATAGAGACTCAGATATGGCACCTGGCAGTCAGCTCTGCAGCAGAGGAGGTCTCAGCATAGTAACAATGACCCTTGTGAGTACCCCTGTCTGGGAGAAAGCCACCCCTGTGTTCTTGCTCTGATGTTAGATAATCCAGTTCCTCCCCATATGTTCCTGGATCCCCCCAAGCCACTGCCTGGTTCTCCAGCACCAGCCCTTTAAGAGGAACTGCCTGGGTCTCCAGCATCAGCCCTTTAAGAGGAACTGCTTGGGTCTCCAGCAGCTTCCATGTCACTTAGCCACAATCCCCAATGGTTTTTACAGCCCAAAGTTACAGGGACTTCTCTTCCTGGTATTGGAACCCTGGGTTGAGGGGTCTGGTGTGGGCTGGGACACCTTGCTCCTCACGGGAGGCTTCCGTAGCCGAGATACTCCTCCCAATTAAAAAAACACCACATGTTGGTGTTGGACCAGCCCATTCCATGCCTCCACCCCTCCTACTAGTCTCAATGTACTTTCTTCTTTACTTCTCTAGTTGTAGGACTTCCATTCAGCCAGATTTCAGGTGGTTCTAAATGATGATTGTTCTGTATTTTAGTTGTAATTTTGATGTTGTTGTGGGAGGTGTCGAGTACCAGTTACCTACCCTACTATCAATGATCACCTGTGGGTTTATTTTTTTTAATCCTCACCTGAAGATAGGTTTTTATTGATTTTAGAGAGAAAGGAAGGGGAAGAGAGATAGAGAGAAATATTGGTCAGTTGCCTCCCATATGCACCCTGACCGTGGATCGAACCCACAAGCAAGATATGTGCCCTGACCAGGAATTATACCCACCACTTTTTTGGTGTTTGGGACAACACTCCAACCAATTGACCCACCTGGCCAGGGTGAGCTTTCATTTTCTTATCTGTAAAATGGAGATAATAAAATCTTTCTTAAACAGACCTATACATATAACTAGATAACTACTATCATACTTGAAATACAGTGCAATAAACTGAACCTTCATAAATGTGACTTGTTATGAAGTATATCAGTTAGAATTTACTTTGTCTACAAAGTAATAGAAAACCTGACTAGCCATTGCTAAAACTAAAATAGGGTGTTACTTTATTATCTAACAAGAAATCTGGAGGAAATTGGCTGTAGGGATTGACTTCTCTGTGATTTTTTTTTTTTTTTGTCTCTTTCCTCATGATCACAAGGTGGCTGCCACAGCTTCAAACATCTTATCAGCACACCACTGTCCTTAGCAAGAAGAAATGGACAGGTGAAAGGGAATTTCCTCTTATAAGGGATAAATCTGTCCCAGGAGTCTTCCCCAAGCTGAATTCCCTTTCACATCTCCTTGCCTGAACTAGTCACATGGCCAGCTGTAGGGACAACTTGGAAAGCAACATCTAGGGAAGTAGAATTAAATGGACAAGATTGGCTTGACTAAAGGTTTTAAACCCTGACTACATGTCACAATCACCTGAGTGGTATTAAAAATGTGTGTGTTTGTGTGTATGTGTGTGTGTGTGTGTGTAAGTATACACATATATAAGTGTATGTATACATACATACATATATGCCTGGGCCCCACCACAGACCAATTGAATCAGAACCATTGATTGTGAATTTTTTTTTTAGGTGTCCCTACTTTGTTTTTATTCTAACTCAGCGGTTCTCAACCTGTGGGTCGCGACCCCTTTGGCGGTCGAACGACCCTTTCACAGGGGTCGCCTAAGACCATCCTGCATATCAGATAGTTACATTACGATTCATAACATAGCAACATTACAGTTATGAAATAGCAACGAAAATAATTTTATGGTTGGGTCACAACATGAGGAACTGTATTTAAAGGGCCAGAAGGTTAAGAATCACTGTTCTAACTGAATAACATTTTTAGGAGAGAGAGGAGGGACACAAGACCCACACCGCATGTGCCCTGACCAGGAATCAAATCCATAACCTTTTGGTTCCTGGATGAGCCTGAAGCTCTGCTCATTCTGCAGGCCTTGAAAGAGCATTATGTATCTCTTCCCAGCTTCCAGACTGAAAGTTTTCTTGGTGGTATCTGTGATTGTGATTTTGTCAAGAAACCAGATTGAGCCCTAGCCAGTTTGGCTCAGTGGATAGAGTGTCAGCCTGGGGATTAAAGGGTCCTGGGTTCGATTCCGATCAAGGGCACATACCTCAGTTGCAGGCTCCTCCCTGGCCCTGGTCAGGGCATGTGCAGGAGGCAACTAATTGATGTGGCTCTCTCATGTTGATGCTTCTCTCTGTCTTTCCCTCTCTCTTCCACTCTCTCTAAAAATCAATGAAAAATAGCCTCAGGTGAGGATTAAAACGTAAATTAAAATAAAATAAAATGGTAATAAAAATTTTTTTAAAAAAAAGAAAGAAACCAGATTTAAAATGAGTGCCACAGCCCTAGCTGGTTTGGCTCAGTGGATAGAGCGTCGGCCTGCAGACTGAAGGGTCCCGGGTTCGATTCCGGTCAAGGGCATGTACCTCGGTTGCCGGCTCGATCCCCAGCTCTCTCATCATTGATGTTTCTATCTCTCTCCCTCTCCTTTCCTCTCTAAAATCAATAAAAAAAAATTAAAAAAATGAGTGCCACAGTTGAAGACCCAAGTCTTCATGTACTGATGGCCAGAGAAGCAGGTGTTTTACATAAGAGCTCATGGTATTATGTTTACATATAATATTGTAATGACAGTGAGAGTGTCCATTTGAATGCCTACCTCTTACTCCCTGACATAATCCATTTCCCATTAAAATGCCAACTCCATGAAATAAGAGTCTTTGTTTTGTTCACTCTACCTAGAACAGGGCTGGCACTTAGGAGGCACTGAGTCAGTATCTGTTAAAACAAACAAACTTATGCCCGGACAGCATGGCTCAGTGGTTAAGCATCAACCTATGAACCAGAAGGTTCCCAATCAGGTCACATTCCTAGGTTGCGGGCTTAATCCCCCAGTAGGGGGCATGCAAGAGGCAGCTGATCATTCTCTCTCATCATTGATGTTTCTGTCTCTCTATCTCCCTCTCCCTTCCTCTCTGAAATCAATTTTTTTTAAAAGTTATGTTCCATGCACTGTCCCATTTAGTCCTCCCAACACCCCTTTGGGGTTATGATACTGTCACTCTACCCATTTCACAAAAGAAGACACATGAGGCTCAGAAATAGGAAGTCACTTAGACAAGATCACACAGCCAAGAGGCATCAAGTCAAGTCCTGGTCCAGACCCAGGGCTTTCTGGCCCTAGAGCCCAAGCTACTGACCATCTCACATATGTTCTAATCCTTTCCTGGTTCCCAAGAGCCTCCTAACAGTCCCTTCTCTCCCTTGAGCAGCTCATCACCCTGCGGGGCTCCATCCTGGAGGATGCCACACCCACAGCCACTAAGCATGGGACCGGGCGGGGCCTACCCCTGAAGGATGCCCTGGAGTATGTCATTCCTGAGCTTAACATCCACTGCCTGCGGCTGGCTCTCAATACTCCCAAGGTGACGGAGCAGCTGCTGAAGCTCGACGAGCAAGGGGTGAGCTGGGGCCGGGTGAGGGTGTGTGGGGCGGGCGCACTGGGGCACAGCCAGCAGCCCCACTCCTGGTACTTTCTGTCTTGGTCACTTTTTTTTTTTTCAAACATCAGAAACCAACTTAAGCTAGTTTCAATAAAAGGAGGAATCTGTTATCAAATTCTGGGATTGCCAAGAGCAGGAATGTAACTGTGTCTCAGGAGGAAAATAGTCTAGGGATAAAGGAACCACCAGGTTCGTGTGTGTGTGTGTGTGTGTGTGTGTGTGTGTGTGTGTGCGCGCGTGGGCGCACGTGCACACTCGGGTTTTCTCTCTCCCTCTGCACACTGGTACCTCTGCTACTCTGGCCCTCCCTCAGCTCTCAGAGTTGCTGTTAGAATTGTGGCCGCTTGCAGAGACCATCTCACTGATTCTCAGCCCAGGAGAGCCTCTACCTGGCTTACACTAGGTCAGGTGTTGGTCCATGGTCCAGTCACCAGCGACCTGGGGAATCAGAGATATGTTAAAAAAAACAACACATGGTTATTACAGGCCCACCCCCTAAAAAAACAGTGTTAACTCTACTGATCCCTGCACGCTTCAGAATTTCCTTTTGCAGAGTCTTAGCCAGCTCCTATCCATCTACTATGGGAAGCCGGCCCAGGCAGCAGTCTCTTTCATGAGAGAATGGCATTGCCTTCCATAGATAGATTAAAAATCAAAGGCATGGGCGATAGATTAAAAATCAAAGGCATGGGCACCTTGTCATGCCTCTCTGTAATGGGAGGAAGGGAGAGAGACAAGACAACTGGGACATGTCCCCATGCCTTTTTCCTTCCTCTGGCTGTGGTCCTAAATTCCTGTCACTCCAGCAATTTCCTGGGCTCAGCGCCCAAGAAAGCCCCCCTTTGTTCCATCCTCTCTGACATCTCTGCCTGTCCTGCCTCCATAAAGCCGCTCTCGCCTCTGCAGCTCTGCCGGAAACACAAAGTGGGGATCCTCTACTGCAGGGCAGGCCAGAGCTCGGAGGAGGAGATGTACAACAACGAGGATGCCGGCCCCGCCTTTGAAGAGTTCCTCTCCCTGTTGGGTGAGAAGGTCTGCCTGAAGGGGTTCACCAAGTACGCTGCCCAGCTGGACGTCAAGAGTAAGTGGCCTGGTGGGGGAGCCAGTTAGATCAAGTTAGAACCGGTGAACCACCCCTGCACGCCCTCCTGATGGGCAAAAGGCCTGGTGATACTCAGATGAGGACTCTGGGCAATGGGAGCTCTGGATCTCTGCTGATGGGAGTGCAGGTAGTACTCCACTTTGAAAAACACAGCATATTCTGGTTAAGTCTGAAAATTCACCAACTCTGTCTCAGCAATTACACTGCTAGACGTGTCCTGTGAGAACTCATGCACATGTGCCAGCATATGTCCTACATACTTATAACCGCAGAGCCCAGGACAGTGCCCAGTGTGCATGATCAGAGCTGTGGTATATTCATACAGCACCATGGTGTGTGGTGACAATGACGACAACGAACTGGGGCCACAGGCATCAGTCTGGATGAAATGCGTGACCAGCAGGTCTCAGAAATGTGGGTACTGAATGATGCCTTTTATACAGTAACTAGGGCCCTGTGCACGAAATTCGTGCATGTGTGTGGGGACTTCTGGGCAGGAGGCCAAAGCCCTGTGCCCAGCCGGGGCCTGGGAGTGGTGGCCTTGTCTCCCCCACCACTGGTCGTTTTGTTTTGTTTTTTTGTTTCTTTCTTGGTGTCAGCCCCCCTCTCCCCGCTTGCTTCTGCTGCTGGTCGCCCCCTGCCCAGCTCCCTCAGTGCCTGGGAGCAGCAGTGGCCCTGTCGCTTCCGCCACTGGTTGTTTTTATTTTCCCCTATGTCCTTTCGCCCCCTGGTGGTCAGCACATGTCATAGCAGTGGTTGAACTCCCGGTTGAAGTCCCATTCGCTCGACCGCCTGATGGGACAATTTGCATATTAAGCTTTAGTTATATAGCCTAATATGCAGTTGAGTAGGTGCCTGCGGCTGTCGTCATCATCACCTTTGCCTCCTCCATTGAAGAAGGCAGTGAGAGGAAAAAGCATCTTATTGTGCCAGTTACCGGTTTTGTGGTCTTGGCTTTGCCCCTCTCTGCCTCAGTTTCCTCATCTGTAAAGTGACAGTAATAATTGCGCTTAATTGCCCTGACCGGTTTGGCTCAGTGGATAGAGTGTCAGCCTTCGGACTGAAGGGTCCTGGGTTCGATTCCGGTCAAGGGCATGTACCTTGGTTGCGGGCACATCTCCAGTGGGGGGGTGGGCAGGAGGCGGCTGATTGATGTTTCTCTCTCATCGATGTTTCTAACTCTCTGTCCCTCACCCTTCCTCTCTCTGAAAAATCAATAAAATATATTAAAAAAATAAAATAATTGCGCTTAACTCAGGAGCACAGTATTGAACCTAATGTAGTGTGCCCTCAACTGTGCCAGGTACTGGACCTGTCCAAATTCCCAGAGCTCTGAAGGTGGGTATCGCCTGCAGTGTGCTTATGGGGCACACAGGACTCTTACTACCGCCTGGCACACAGGAAGCCTGCAGCAAGTGTGAGCATTAGTATTGTGATTCTGTTGGTGAACTGCTGAAGAGGCAATACACTGAGAAAAAAGGAATAGGAGACTTATTATCCCCTGTGTCAGATGCCTGCTTTGAGGCTCAGCGTCCTCCACTAAGTGACGGCCATAACCTTACCCTACACTGACTTACTGTGAAGACCAGATGCCTAGCACAGTGCCTTACAGAGAATTAGCTCTCAAATAAACATCAACTGCTGCCAATAATTGCAGTGTCACCTTGGGCAAGTCACTCACTCTCTGTGCCTCAGCTTCCCCTTCTAAAGCATGGAGCCAGTAATGAGGTGTGCTTCTCCCTGGTCATAACCCCTCACATTAGAGGTAACCAATATCCTGACTCCTGTAATTATCATTCTGTTTTTTCCTTCATAGTTTCGCTACTTATATGTGCATGTCTACATAATATGTTTTGCTTGTTTTGTAACATAATGTGAATGCACTCATACAGTGTGTGCTCCTTTGTGTCTGGCGTCTTTCATTCAACATTATGTTTGTCGGATTTAACCATGTGGTGACTACGACTCATTCCTTTTCATGGTTGTGTATTTTCCACAGTATGAATATACCAGTTTGTTTCTCCATTCTTTTTTTTTTATTCTTTATTATTGAAAGTATTACATACGTCTCCTTTTTTCCCAATTGACCCTCTCCATGTCCCTCCATGCTGTCTCAAAGGGTAAGAGATTCTTCTTTTTTACTGCTGCATAGTACTCTGTGGTATAAATGTACCACAGCTTTTTTATCCACTAATCTATTGATGGGCACTTTGGCTATTTCTACATCTTAGCTACTAGTATTATAAATTGTGCTGCTATGAACGTAGGGGTGCATACATTCTTTCTGATTGGTGCCTCAGGTTTCTCAGGATATATTCCTAGAAGTGGGATCACTGGGTCAAATGGCATTTCCATATTTAATTTTTTGAGGAAACTCCATATTGTTTTCCATAATGGCTGCACCAGTCTGCATTCCCACCAACAATGTACTTGGGTTCCCCTTTCTCCACATCCTCACCTCATTGTTATTACAATTTGCATCTCTATGATGATCAGTTACTTTCAGCATTTTTTCATATGTCTCTTGGCCATCTGTATGTCCACTTTGGAGAAATGTCTATTTAGGTCCTTTACCCTTTTTTTATTTTAATTTAAATTCTTTATTGTTGAAAGTATTACCTTTACCTGCCCGGGCTAACCAGCAGACCCTGAGCAATGAATGAATGAATACTCTGACACACATTTCTGTAAAAGGGAGGCCTAAGGGACTGCCTGACTAAAGGAACCAGACAGCCCCGTTCACCTGCCTCCTTAGGCTTTTATTGTAACAACAGTTTGAACTAAAATTAACTATTAGATACTATCAGCAGGGTAAGTATTCTTGAGAAGATACATGCATCTGCAGTGTCCTTTAAGCAAGGACATCTGAACGATTCCAGTAAACACCCAGGGGCTCAGGCTTGTTTGGAAAAGTCAAGGACGGGTCTGCCACCTTCAGCAAGATCCCCTTAGAGGCCTCCGACTTTTCGGAGATTCCTCCTTACAGACTTTCCAAGCAAGTCCCGTGCTTTCCCACATTTACCCATTTTTTAATTGGATTGTTTGTCTTCCTTTTCTTAGGTTGTATGAGTTCCTTACATATTTTGGATATTAACCCTTTATCAGATGTATCATTGCCAAATATGTTCTCCCATATAGTGGGCTCCCTTTTCATTTTGTTGATGGTTTCTTTTGCTGTGCAGAAGCTTTTTATTTTGATGTAGTCCCATTTGTTTATTTTCTCCTTAGTTTCATTTGCCCTGGGAGATATATCTGTAAATATATTGCTATGAGAGATGTCTGAGATTTTGCTGCCTATGGTTTCTTCTAGGATTTTTATGGTTTTCCAACTTACGTTTAAGTCTTTTATCCATTTTGAGTTTAATTTTTGTGAATGGTGTAAGTTAGTGGCCTAGTTTCTTTTTTGTTCATTTGTTTCTTTCTTTTTTCTTTTCTTTTTTTTTTTTTTGGCATGTATCTGTCCAATTTTCCCAACACCATTTATTGAAGAGACTGTCTTGACTCCATTGTGTGCTCTTGCCGCCTTTGTCAAATATTAATTGAGCATAATGGCTTTGGTCTATTTTTGGGGTCTCTCTTCTATTCTATTGATCTATATGTCTGTTCTTGTGCCAGTACCAGGCTGGTTTGATTATGGTGGCTTTGTAGTATACTTTGATATCTGGTATTATGATTCCTCCAACTTTGTTCTTTTTTTCTCAAAATTGCTATAGCTACTCGTGGTCTTTTTGGGTTCCATATAAATTTTTGGAGTATTTGTTCTAGATCTGTGAAATATGCTGTTGGTATTTTAATAGGGATTGCATTGAATCTTTAGATTGCCTTGGGTAGTATGGACATTTTAAATATGTTTATCCTCCCAATCCATGAACATGATATAATCTTCCACTTGTTTATATCTTCTTCTATCTCTTTTTTCAACGCACTCAGAAAACGATTCAAGTACAAGTCTTTTATCTCCTTGGTTAAGTTTATTCCCAAGTATCTTAATGTTGTTTTTGTTGCAATGTTAAATGGGATTGTTTCTTCAGTTTCTCTTCCTGGGAATTCACTATTGGTGTATAAAAAAAGCCATCGAATTTGGGTGTTGATTTTTGTATCCTGTTACATTGCCAAATTCATTTATTAAATCTATTTTTTGGTGGAGTCTCTAGGGTTTTCTATGTGCAATATTGTGTCATCAGAGAATAATGAGACTTTTACATCCTCCTTTCCAATTTGAATGCCTTTTATTTCTTCTTGTCTGATCACTGTGGTTAGGATTTCCAGTACTATCTAATCTAATAAAAGAAAAACATGCAAATTGACTGTACCTTTGCTATGCGTTAAGCCACGCCCACCAGCCAATCAGAGCGACTATATGCAAATTAACCCCACCAAGATGGCGGCAGGTAGCCATGGAGCTGGAGCAAGCAGGAGGCTTGGTTGCTCCAGTGATGGAGGAAGCCAAGCTTCCTGCCCGTCCTGGCCGGCTCTGAGCTCCACTGAAGGCAACAAAGTTTCAATTATAGAAG